AAGGCTGGAAAGAGGATCTGGAAAACTACAGGCCTGTCAGCCTGACCTCGGTGCCTGGCAAGGTTATGCAGCAGATCATCCTAAGTGCAATCACACAGCACCTACAGGACAGACAGGGGATCAGACCCAGCCAGCACAGATGTAGGAGGGGCAGGTCCTGCCTGACCAACCTGATCTCTTTTATGACCAGATGACCTGCCTGGTGGATGAGAGGAAGGCTGTGGATGTGGTCTGTCTGGACTTCAGCAAAGTCTTTGACACCATCTCCCGTAATATACTCTTGAAAAAGCTGGCAACCCACGGCTTGGACAGGCACACTGTGCTGGATTAGGAACTGGCTGGAGGGCCGGGCCCAGGGAGTGCTGGTGAACAGGGCTGCATCCAGCTGGCGTCTGGTCACCAGTGGTGTCCCCCAGGGATCAGTGCTGGGCCCAGTCCTGTTTAACATCTTTACTGATGATCTGGATGAGGGGATTGGGTCCACTGTTAGCAAATTTGCAGATGACACCAAGTTGGAGGGGAGTGTCAGTCTGCTAGAGGATAGGAGGGCTTTGCAAAGGGACCTGGACAAACTGGATAAATGGGCTGAATCCAGTGGCATAATGTTTAACAAGAACAAGTGCTGGGTCCTGCACTTCGGCCACAACAACTCCCTGCAGCACTCCAGAGTGGCTGGAGAGCAGCCAGGCGGAAAGGGACCTTGGGGGTGCTGATTGACAGGAGGCTGAACATGAGCCAGCAGTGTGCCCAGGTGGCCAAGAAGGCCAATGGCATCCTGGCCTCTATCAGGAACAGTGTGGCCAGCAGGAGCAGGAGCAGTGATTCTGGCCCTGTACTCGGCACTGCTGAGGCTGCACCTTGAGTATTGTGTCCAGTTCTGGACCCCTCAGTTTAGGAAGGACACTGAGGTGCTGGAGGGTGTCCGAAGAAGAGCAATGAGGCTGGTGAAGGGATGGGAGCACAGGTCCTATGAAGAGCAGCTGAGGGAGCTGGGGTTGTTTGGCCTGGAGAAGAGGAGGCTCAGGGGAGACCTCATCACTCTCTACAACTACCTGAGAGGAGGTTGTAACCAGGTGGGCATCGGTCTCTTCTCCCAGGCAAAGTAGGACAAGAGGGCACGGTCTTAAGCTGTGTCAGGGAGGTTTAGGTTAGACATCTTCTTCACAGAAAGAATGATTTGGCATTGAAATGGGCTACCCGAGGAGGTGATGGATTCACTGTCCCTGGAGGTGTTTAAGAAAAGACAACGCAGTCAGTCTCAGTGTAATGGTCTAGTTGAGAACGTGGTGTTTGGTCATAGGTTGGATCCATGATCTCAGAGGTGTTTTCCAACCTAGCTGATTCTGTAATTCTGTCGGATGGTAGAAAGGACACAGTTGCACAATTATGCTGTGAGCTGTGGGAGGCAGTGTCATTTTACCTGGTACTAAGAGTCCCAAAGCTGCCTGTATGTTAATTGGTGCTTGACAAAAGAGAAGGTAAAGTTGGAAAAAAGAGGGTACATACAAAGGAAGAACATGGCAGATAAGCCCAGAACAAAGTAAGTGAAATAGGAAAAAGAAGAATGGGGACTGTAGAGGTGATCTGTCTTATGAGCATGTCAGCTTAGCTCAGCTCTTGGCTTTGGCTGGTGTCTGATAGAAAGAAGGACTTCAGGTGTATTGCCTTTATAGATATCTGAATTTCCTATTTTAGGAATTCTAGACAATTCAGTGATGTTTTGTAGGACAACCCAACTGTAAACTGATATATCAAAGCAACTTCCTGCTTCTTTCTGATCTCTGTACAGCACCTGAGCAGGAAGGACAATACTAAGCAATATAAGAACAGTGAGAGAACTAAATGCCCAACTTCCAGAATGCACTGACTTTCATGTTTAGCAGGTGTGGTGCTGCATCTGTGATGCAGGACAGCAGCTTTCCAGCAACTCTAATACATCAGCATAATTCCTTCTTTGGATGTGTACTAACTCTGTCTTTTGAATCGAAGAAGATATGTGTGAAAGAAATCAGTTTTTAAATGATTACTTGCTTTCCTAATGGCATTTTGGAGAACACTTTCTTCTTGTTCTTTCAATTCTCCTTTAACTTTTTTGGAGAGATTTAGTTATAGCCCAATAATGCAATTGGCAGAACACATTGGATGCCTTATTGTTCAAATAGGAGTATAAATGTCTTAAAAGAGAATTTCCATTTTCTTCCTGAATAACTTTATGAAAAGGGCCAGTATTTAAAGTTGCAGTTGAAGAGTACTCTATACTCTGCCATAGTAGCAGCTGCATTGTATTTTATTTCATTTTTGACACTAATATTTGGCATTTGTAGGACTTGAGGGTTAATCATGTTTAAGGAATTCTGGCCTTCAAAATTTTTTTTTTCTTATTGGTACTGACCAGGAATATGTTAGTCATGTTCATTGCTACTGTTCCAGTATTGCAGAGTTAAGTGTCATTAGTGTTTGTTTGCTTGTTTGTTTGTAAGACAGAAAACATTTCTGAGTGGATTTTCCCACTTATATATCTTATTTCAGTAGAAGAACAGAATTCTTGCTGCATGATATTTTTACCTGGTTTTCATTTTCTGTGCTTCCTGTTTTGAGGTGTGTTGGAACGACACTGTGGTAATAGGGAAGTTGCAAAAAAATTCTTATTCCTTTCATGGCTGCTATTAAAAGTGAAAATATATCGTAACACTCTTTTAAAGTAATCTAAAGCATGTGATGAAACACATCAAGGAATGAAGATTCAGGAGTAGGGTGACCATCTGTAACTTGGTCTCTTTGTCTCAGAACTGTAATATAATGGCACTGTGAATTAATGTGCTGGACTTACAACCTGAATAAAAGTCTTGTAAACTTCTCTTTAAAGGTATGAAAAAAGGAAAAAAAGGTAACTTGTTGTTTTTACACTTTGTCCTTGTCTGTTTTTCACCAAAGGAGGGGGATAGCGCTTTAAGAGCATCCAATTGGGCCTGAATTATTAATGACTAGGCTTTTTTTATTGCATAAGTAGGTTGAACTTTTTTCTAAGACCCTGCTTACTTCAAGCACTTACTTATGTCTTTGAAGCTGGGGTGTTGATTTCTTGAACTGCATTGCATTCCTTATTATTTTCTGTTATTCATTAATATTGCAGTAGGATCTATAATTTTGTTCCTGGTAGAGACTCTGTGGTAGAGGTAATCTGAACCTGATCTGTGAATATTCCTTCTCTGAATATCCCTTTACTATGTCTTCTCTCCCCAAAATCCTACATTTCTGCCTACTTTTTCTTGTTGTTTTACTTCTCCAAAGTAAACTTAGGTGTATTTTATTTCCTTCCCCAATGTGCTTCATCTAGGTCTGTTGATCAACATATATTACATCTTAAACCAGAAGTGCAGTGTTGTCTGGATCCCATGGCCTCTGGCTGTATGAAGAACACTTCTACACATCTTATTATTTCCAGGAAAAAGCCCCAAAATTTTTAAGACTCTCCACTGATTTGCTCTAGCCTGATACATATACCTTGGGTGGGATCCAGGCTGCACTAGGAGCTTACATTGAATTTGTTGTGGAGACACTTGTACCATTTCTTTAGCAATTCTTGGAGCAAACGTACTCATACATAAATATGCCAAGACTGAAGAACCAGCACCTCCAATATCAAGAAATCTGTATAGCATGATGGGTTTTTTTCTCCCTGTCATTTTGATAAGTAGATGACTGAAACTATCCAAGGTAAAAAATCAAATGTATCATAAAAGTATTGCAGCACTGGGATTTCATTTAAAGAGAAAAACTTGAAAAAATTCTACTGAATGCTCTTTACGTTTGCTTTAGCTGTAAGTTTTGAATGTTTAGGGTTTAATGGTACATAATTTTAAAGTCGTGTAGAGTGGTCAAGGCAGAAAATGGAAAAGTACTTTTCCAAGTAATTTAAAAAGTTAATCTTTGCAATCAAGACTTGCAAAGTCTTGATTTATGGCAAGATGTCATGGGATTTGTTTGTCATCCCCCCAAAATATTTATAAAGCCTAATTTTATACATATATATGTAGGAGTATTCTGTGAGTTATGAAGCTTAGTGAATCTACTGCCATTTGGGTTTGAATCCCATGATCCCCAGAATTTTTTTCATTCATTGTGTTGCTTCTTACTATGTCCTCTGTCTCCTTGCGTCTCCTTCAGTTCCTCCAGTTTATGTCTACAGACTCCATCCCTTTCAAATATCATTTAGGTGAGAGGTGAGACATACTCAGTATGTGTGGGTTTCCACTATTAAGATGCTGTAAGATGCCCCTCGTGCTGAAGACTGTCTTCACATCAGATTCGGTATTTTCAGAGTTTCCTTTGACATGTGGCACATTTAACTAAAATACAGCAATGAATGAGCAAACACAAACCCTGCAAATCATTCAGCCTTGTTTCTGGTAATGTGCTAGTTGTGTTTGTTATTCGTATTTAGAAACAGGTGCACTCAGAAAAACTTAGTATTGAAGGGAAAGACTGTTTCCTTCTCACAGTGGCTTAGTACTGTTCATTTGATAAGAAAAACTGTTGGCATATTTTCACAGAATGTGAATATGAGGTGCAGAGTCATGGTCTAGTTATTTCACAAAAGATGATTTAATGGTAGTTGTAATAGGAGAGGGGCAGAAAGGAGAGGGAAAGATATATGATAATATATGATATAAAAAATTGGGCATGTATTTAAAGAGAGATGAAGTTATGTAAAGATAATATTGAAATGCCTAGCCCTTAACTTGAAATGGAATATAGTAATATACTGTTCTCATTGCTGTCACGCATCTACATTTTAATATCTGTGCTGCCTGAGATTGTGTATGACTGCTCTCAGGAGATGCACCTGATGATTGTATCTGCTGCAGATGCCATATGAGGGGAAGAATTGCTGCTGCTTACATACTTTATGCTTTTCTCAGTAGAGGATGCTACAAAGAGCTAAGTATTCTTCCTCGCTTGTTTATATATATTTGCAATTTTTCTTTGTATCCTTTCAGCTCATGGAAAAAACTGACAGGGACTACTACACTCTGGATGACATGTTTGTTTCCAAAGCAGCCAAAAGAGCGCGTAGTGGGGAAGAGGAAGAAACACAAAGAAGAAAAGCAATACAGGAGCACCAGCAGCTTGCTGCACGCATGGAAAAGTGCCCATACTGCTTTGATAGCAGTGCACTTTCTAAACATCTTATTATTGCAATTGGCACCAAGGTAAGAAAATAGCCATCTAACAAAATGTAGAAATAAAAAAGAAATTATGTTAGAGGGCTTGAAATTAAGAATGAAATCGCTTCTATGGAATTATTTGTGATTCTTTATCTTATTTTCCTTGCCCTTTCAGTTGCTTCCACAAACTTGTCAAGGGTGAGGGAGAAAAAGATTTAAATCTGTCATGAATTTTGAAGCTAATCTTTGATATCAGAACTTGTGGAAGACAGGAGCCTTAATGAAAGATCTCAGTGCAGAGATTAGACTGTAGGTGGATTTGTGGAAGACTAAATCACACTTCACTGGAGGAAATTTGAACTGGTCAAGAATTGTATCTTGTTATCAAAGAAAATTAAATGCAGAATTCCATTTTTAAGCTTAAAATCCTTTGAAATAGACAGAAGTTTGGTTTGGAAACCTTCCTCTTTCTGTAAGTTCTTTTAAAAGTTGCGTAAATATTTGTATTTATAACATCTGAAATGCCTTAGTATAGCCTTTTCTGTAATTTTTTTCTCCAAAGTTTCCATTTATTATTGATGTTTTTATTTGATTAACTCTTTATAGGCCAAGAAATTAAATACATAGATATGTATTACGGTACATTGTGGGTTTTGTCTTTAACAGAGATTATAAATTCATACAAATCTTTGTGCATATGTATGTATATAATCTGTGTTTATATATGTGTTTATATATCTAATAGGTAGGTGACTATACAGAGTGTCCTGATTTTAGCTGGGATGGTTAATTTTCTTTCCAATAGCTGGTACAGCGCTGTGTTTTGGATTTAGGGTGACTATAATGTTGGTAACAAACTAACGTTTTGAGTTGTTGTTAAGTAGTGGTCAGGGACTCTTCAACTTCTCATACTGTCCTGCCAGCGAGAAGGCTGGAGAGGCGCAAGAAGTTGAGAGGGGACACAGCTGGGGACAGGTGACCGAAACTGACCAAAGGAATATTCTTTACCATATGACACCATGTTCAGTGTATAAACTAGAGGGAAAGCTGGCCAGGGGCCACTGCTTGGAAAATGGCTGGGAATCGGTTGGTAGGTGGTGAGCAATTACACTGTGCATCACTTGCTTTCTAAGTTATTGTTATTGTTGTTGTTATTATGATTGTGTAATTTTCTGTCCTTTTAAACTGTCTTTATCTCAACCCACAAATTTTTCTGATTCTCTTCCCTGTCCTACTGGGGGCAGGGAGTGAGTGAACAGTTAGGTGGTGCTGCCAGGATAAACCGTGACAGAGTATGCATTTTACATATATATATATATATAAATATATACTTATATGAAATACTTTATTGAAAATGCATGGTGATATTTATCTATATTTAAAAAATATTGGAATGGACTAAACATTGTGATTTATAATAGTTATGATACCAGTTGGTTTATAAGGCTGATATTACTGCTTTGTTGGTGGAACTACTCTTTAGATAATACTAGTTCATTTGAGCTACTGGTGGATAATAGGATCTTTCAAAAAACACTAGAATTACTAATACCTTGCTGTAATTAGTGGATAATGGCTTCTATTGGTTTGAATTTAGCAAATGATGAATTTCTTCGCTTCAGCAATGGGAAGGTTTTTAACACTTGAAAAATGGGCACTGCAGTTTTTGTTTGCTTTTCATAGGTGTACTTGTCTCTACCAAGCAACCAGTCCCTTACTGAAGGTCACTGCCTGATAGCCCCTCTACAACACCATACTGCAGCCACTCTTTTGGATGAAGACATCTGGGAAGAAATCCAGGTCAGCTGAGAAACTTTCTCCTGTCTTCTGACAGTTCTGTAGAACAGTTTTGTTTTGAATAATAATATAGTTGTCATAAGTACCTGTTTTCATAATTTGCAGTCTGGCAGCTCTTCTCTCATTCCACTAAGGGGCAGAACGTTCTCACATTATGGATGAAAATTAGCGGCCAAATATTAACTGAAAAGAGAGGTAGGGTAAATACTGAAGAAAATTTACGATTCATAAGCTCTAGAAGAAGTTTCTTGGAATGTTGCAAAACATGCATTGTTGGAGGACTTTGAAACCATGTTAGAGGAACATCTCTTGGGGATAAAGTAGGTACAGCTGCTCCCTTACAGAAAGTGGAATAACTGGCTTCACATGATTTTATTGGGAGTGCCAAGGAAAAGAAAAGGACTGTCAGAACAGGCAGATAACTTAAAATTAAATGCAAGCTGAAAATATATTGTTCATATATCCTTAGTTTTTTAAGCTAATCTGGGGTTTGGGTGGATATCGATTGAAAGAGAACAGTCTTACTCTTAAAATCAGTGTTAGAATGCAGTTTTTTACCTTCCTTGAAAAAAATTATTAGAATGAAGTGCCAAGCATGATGGGTTGTGCTTTCCAATTGTCTTATGAAGACATTTTGAGGATTTGGAGTTCTGTTTGCTTTGGAGATGGAAAATCAAAGAAGGGATATAACAAGCTTTTGCCTAAGAGATTCACTGTGATTGTCAATCCTCCACTCTCTGCCATCAGGATTATTACAAGGGGAAAACAACTTGCAGCCTCTTAAATTGAAATATTGGAGACTATTTCAGACTATTGAATAGCTTCATTTTTGCAGTTGCAGTGATTTAAAACTGGCATAATTCATAAGTTTGGAAAAGTTTAAGTGACATTGGTCTTACCTCAAGCCTGGCAGGTAGATTCTCTGACTTTCCAAATTTGCTCCCTGCATTGATTCTTGTGGCTGATTGTAGTTTTTATACGGTGTTTCCTAGTAAATTATGCTGCCCTCCAACCCCTTCTTCAACCCAGAGGAAGGAAAAGGAGTTCTCCTGTGTATGACAGAAATGCCTAAGAAAGTTGGATAAGAAGCAAATAAGTGCAAAAAATACGATCAGGAGGAACAAAAGAGCATGGGGGAAAGTGATAAATATGTTTATCCTAGAATTTCTCTTTATCCTAACCTCTTAATAATTATAATAATTATAACATTATATTATTACTAATTATATATTTTTATATTATTATATTATTAATAATTATAAATAATTATTTTTCTGAATTTGTATGTGAAGGAAAATAGGATAAAGGAAAGATAAGCAAATGCAGTTCCTGTATTTAACACTGGTCTTTTACTTGCTAGTAAAGGCAACTAGTTGCTAAGTCATTATCCTTTGACCCTGTGAATGTATTCATAGATGGCTTAAACATTTCTTTGCAATAAAGCACTCTGGAAGGTGATGGACACAGATGACTTATTTTTTCCCCAGCTTCTATGTAATAAAAGGAGTCAGTATGTAATAAGGAGGAGTCTGTAAGGCTTTAGCAAAAGTATGAGCAGACAGTCAGTGATAAGCTTTCTGATGCCAGAGATGTATTTCATATTGCTATTGAAGGGAAAAAAATTATCACACATCAAATATTCAAAAAATGTTGAATGGAGAACATGTTTTAGCTAACTATTTTTGCTGAGGTTTTTTTTAGGATATGGTGGAGTAAAGAAAAAAAGGGTTCCTTTTATACTCTATGCCTTCAAGCACTTGAATTTAATATACTGTGTAGTTTAGACTGATGTGCTCACTTGCCAAAGTAAATATGCATGTAATACTTTTAATATGAAAAGATATAAATCTTTACACGTTCTGCGTTGACTGAACTGTTGCATGTATTAATGGCATGTGCATCCAAGCATAAACCAAGCCTTCTTGTTTGCCCTTATGAATGGTTTTCTCCTTTCCAGTGCAAATTATCCTTGATGGTTTGGCCTGCTCAGAATTTGGAGGAAAAGTGCAATGTATTTAAAAACAAGAAAATGCAGTTAGGGAAATGTTAGCTAACATCTGCTGATATTCTAGGCTTTTTGGTGGATTTATATTTCAGTTGATATTGCAGGGTAGCAACAGTAAGTGATAGTCTTTCTCAGCCTTTGGTTTAGTGTTTCCCTTACCTCACCACAGTTGCTTGTTTCACTGTATTTCAGAAGGTCTGGGGGCCGGAGCTAAGAGGAGAAGGCCACAAGCTATTAATTCAGAGTAGCCTGTTGCTCTGTGCTGTAAAGTTCCCTATCAGTCATGGAACACTGGGCAGTATCTTCTAGCTGTGTTTCATCAGCTGTGTTAGGGGAATGATGGTATTGTTTTTCTGTCATGGTATGGAGCAGCTCATTAGTGAGGAAAAATTCAGGGCACTAGGCCTGCTTTGAAGAGCTTAAATACCTAGTTAAGATACATATTTGGTCAAGTTTCTTAGCCTTTTAGTTTGATTCATACTGTGCAAAATGGCAAGGGGGTAGGGAGAAGAGAGCTCAATTTGTAGATCTGTTTCATTGAGAAACTGATAGTGATTTGTTTTCACTCTGTTTTACTTCAGTACTTGCTGATGTTGGTGAATATGTTTTTGCTTATGCTAGTTTGATTCATCAGCTCTCCATTTATATTAAGATAGGGAATATTAAACTTTTAGATGGGATTAACCTTTTAATGGTGCTGTTTGTGTTTCTGAGCATTGTTAATTGAAAAAGAAAACAATGCAAAAAGGACAACCTATGAGTTATGTGAGTCGTAGAGCTATGGTATCTCTAAACTATGAGGCTCTTACAGTTTCTGTGGTTTCTTGGCTTACACTGTGGAAAGGGTATAGGGAGTATGTATAATACAAAAATCATCATGTTTAAAAAGCATTTTTCAAGATCTTGAGAAACTTTCAGAAACGTTCACCCTGTCAGGAAGTCATATCTTTTGTGCATTTGAAAGTAAGTCTAAATGACTCTCAGAAATCATCCCTTGTGCTTGACAATTTAGTTCAGCACCTATGTTGTAAGCTATAGAATGATGCTCTTGCGTGTCTTGGATGCAAATACCAACTGTCGAGAGTCTTGGAGCAGCAAAAGCGAGCTGCTCTTCAGGAAGGCAAGTCAGGGGGAAGCAGGTGGGGAAGGTCATCTCACTGGCAATGCAGTCTCATGGAACCCAGGCCAAGAGAAAAGAGCAGTTCCCATGGTGGTGGACAGGGTCAGACATGTCCCAGAGGTGGCCAGACAAGTGTGCGGTGATGACTTAAGTTCAAGAGGAAGTCAGGGCCAAGAACTGCCAGATACCTGGCTGGGCACAGGCATCCCTGAAACTCAGACAAGGAACAAAAGTGAACTTAAGTGCAGTTCCCAAGTGACAGGGGCCAGGCCCACACTTCTCACCACATGCTAGATGTATTAAGTGTTGCATTTGCTTTGCCTGAATACAGTGAAGGTGGTGGTTACAGCCATGGCTTTCTTTTGAGGCAATGTTAATATTTTACTTTGAGAAAGAAGAGAACTACTCACCAAGCACACCTTGCTCAGCCATCTTGCCATGTCAGAAAAGCAGCCTTTCGACTTGCATGTAGCAAGCTTTTTTTTTCCTCAAATCTTTGTTCGCGAAGCCTAGCCATGAATATTTTACTTAAAGATCAAGCATGCCTAGTGAAAATATCTTCCCTTTTTTGTTTTTATTTTTTAAAATTAAACTGTATAATTGGAAGGAATAGTGAAGAGAGACTGCCTATATTAGGAAATATAGTTCATATTAAATTGCTGAATAATACAGAATTTTCCTAGTATGATTGTTACAGTTTTCCATTTTACTGTGAGTTTATTACAAATATAATACATTAGTTAAATAATGTGTCTGAAAGCTTTGAAAAGTTAATTTAAATTACACATTTTTTTTCTTTAAACAGATGTTCCGAAGTGCATTGGTGAAAATGTTTGAAGCGAAAGACTTGGACTGTGTGTTCCTAGAAACAAACATGAGTATGAAGAAACGGTATCATATGGTATATGAATGCATTCCTCTTCCAAAAGAAGTAGGAGATATGGCTCCAATCTACTTTAAGGTGCACGAAAATGTTTTCTTTTTCTGAGGTCATTTGAATGTTTGTATCATAATTCACCTATTTATGGAAAACATTCTGATATTCCAGTGCTATTTTTGAGAAGATGTGTTCTTTGATCCTACTTCTTGATCCATTCTTTGATCATATTCTTTGATCTTAAAACAAACCCTGTGAGGTAATTCAGTTTTTCAAGTAGTCAGTGGAAGACCTGCATGTGACTGAGCACTTGTCGCAAGTCTGACTGACTGCACTGACAAATACTGAAAGAAGGTGAGGAGAACTGTAGTCTCTTGAATTGCTTTAAGGATTGCAATACTTCTCACTTAAGTCCTGTGGTCTAAACTTAAAACACCATGCATGTGCCTTGGCAAACATAAAATGGGAAAATGACATCAACTGTTTTAAGAAATACCAATGTATATATTGTTTCATCCCCATTTTATTTCAGTAAGTCCAAATTTTAGACATATCTTAGGTTTTTGATGAATGTTAAGGCAGCATGATAAAAACCAGCTTTTCTGGTTTCTTTCCCCTGGCCCGGCCTTTCAGCAACTGGATCATGATTCAGCCTTTATAAGTAAATTTTTTTATTTGTTCTTTGAAATATTAGTTTTGCTTTCTGGAAATAATGTGAGTGTTTTTTGATGAAGTGGAGCAGCAGTATGATGAACCACAATGCAGTAACTTTTACCACATCTGAAACTTTCCACCTGTTAGATAGGACTACTATGCTTCAGGTTCTGGTAAAACTTGTATTTTGTCTGAATATTCAAGGAGGAAGAACAAGATTTAATGCAATGTTGTTTGCTTAAAACTTTTCTTTCAGAAGTTTCTACCATTAAAATACACAACAAATGAAATTTAAAAGACACCTACATGATACTATATCCAATTCCATACTATAGAAAATACAGAGTCAGCTTTAAAGGTTTTTAAGGGCAGTTAGCCTTCTAAGATGGATTCTCCTCTTAGTGTTTAAAAAACCCAAACAGGTTAATAAAGTGTAATGAATTCATAAGAGGGTTTGTATGGGACAAGTAAAAAGAGAATGTGACTTTGTAGTTGAAACTTGTTAGAGATGATTTGTGTAAAGCAAAAGTTAAATCTCAAACAAAAAGAAATAGAGGAAATGAATTGAGTGAGTCTGAAGATATATGATGTCTTTGTAAAGTAAGTAAGTTGTGGAAATCAGAAAAGTTACCAAAAATATAGTTACCTTTTAAAGAAGTAATTGTTACTTGCAGTACAATGTACTTCACTACAGTTAGTTCTTTGCTTGCTGCATGTAGGACCATTTTCACATTTAGATAAAATGATTTTACAGAAAGCTATAATGGAGTCTGATGAAGAGTGGTCCATGAACAAGAAGTTAATTGATCTTTCTTCAAAAGATGTTCGGAAATCTGTAAGTAATTAAATGTATTGAACACTGAATTTCTCAGCAAATTCTTCTCATTTTTTTTCATTACTAACTGTTTCAAAGAGAGAAGAAAGGGAACACAATTAGATTAGTGCATCAGAAGATGGCATAGGTATGATGAGAATTAACAGTCTGACTGAACTCCTAACTAACATTAGGGCAAAGATTCTCATTTATTTCAACAATTGGTGGACTGAGCTGCAAGCATTTGTTGAGAACAAAGCTGACACTTTGAGGACATGTACCAGCATAATTTTCTAGATTAAGAATTAAGGTAGATCAAAGGTTTGCAAATTACTTTCCTGGAGAAATTATGGTATTTCTTTTTTGTTGCCCTACAACAGCCGTTTGCGTTGCTAAGTTTGTGAACTGAAAATATAAATAGCATTATGATTCTTTCTTTCTAAAACAAGGGAACAGTGCTCTTTCTATCTCCTGGATACTGAGCTGAAACATCTTTATATAAACAAATCTTAAAGGAACAATGCTGGATCTATTAGGTTCAAAGATTGTTCTATCTTTTTAATACTGAAGTGGAAGATGTGTGTTATATAGACTTTACCACAAGTAGTTTACTACTATGTAGTAATAACACTCAATTTTTAATAGTGTCTTTTAGTAAATATAGCACCTTTTCACTAAAAAAAGAGCATAGTTTAGGAGAAAGAGGAGATGAGTTTTAATAATAAGACATGAAACCAGATACTACAAAAAGGGAGATGGAATGCAGAAGAGTAAGGGATGCAATTAATTTGCAGCAAGGGTTTAGGGAAGACTGTAAACTTAAGGTGGATGTAACCAGACGACAAAATAAGTATGTTTGGGATATCTTCTGCTTACTGTTGTATCAAAACAGGAAAAAACAACATCTGTCACCTATAAGTGAAGTATCATTTTTTTGACACATAGGCATTAGGACATCAGGGTTCTTGAAGAATCTTCCTAGCCATACATTTTTGTGACTATTCTGTACTCATTTGAAAGTAGGCCAGTTTTCAGATGAAGTCAGGACAGTTCTTTAAATTAGTACAATGTATCTGAGTGTAAATTGTTACACAGTTGTGTGATTTTAATATTATTTTAGAGTAATAGAAATTCAGAAAGATCGGAGAGTATAGTTTAGAGACAGAGCTGAGGTTTGGGAAGTTGGAGAGTTGTATTGGGAGAGGGTGGTACCTGGAAGGAGGGTCAGACACAGCTGAGACATCACCTCATGGGTGGACTGTGTGCCAAACTTGTGTCCAGAGGTAGAGCTGGAGCATCCAGCCCTTGCACAGCATCAAGGCTTTCTCTGCTTCTCTTGCTCCTTGCTGCAAAGGTGCTAGGGGTGGGCAGTGGGCTGGGAGGAGACACAGCCAGGAGAGTTGACCCAGCAGTCAGCACTATTCAGCAGTAGCCAAAACACTGGCATGCTATCAACACTGGTTTAGGCACCAGTCTGAAACTCAGCACTATATGGGTTGCTGTGATGCAAATCCACTCCATCCCAGTCAGACATGATGCTTTGCTAGACACAAATAAGATAATGTTGACCTTTTTCTTCAGGTGTCACCTGCCAACCCATTTTTCCTTATTTAATGATTTTTTTTCAGTCCATTTAAAATGTTTTATGTTTCTTTTGATGCTACATTGCTCCTCTGTATTAAATCTTAATTATTTTTAGAGTCAATTTTCAAGCAATACATAGAAGACGGCTTATAAAAATTGTGTAGCTATTTGGATTATAGAAGAGAAAATGCTTATGAATTGGAGGCTTTGTAAATCTTATCAGTACAGGAACATCCTCAACAATTAAAAGAGTGGAAAATAAGTTATTGCAGTGAAACAGCAAAAATTACTTGCAGTACTGTAGCAATAAATGGATCCACTTCTCTCTGTCAGACTGAAAGGTCTTTGTTGGGGGAAGATATCCACCTTCTTCTCTGTAGTCTGACTGAATTATTAACTTACCTGATTTGCCAAGTTAATGATAACTTCCAGTCATTTAGAGGAGGTTTCTCCTAATGTATTTTCCATAAAGGTGTTTCCCCTTCTCCCTGAGTGTCAGTGTTTTCACCGGGTAAATATTTGCTGTTACCACTCAACACCTTACCCTTTGACAAGTGCAACTTGCTAGTGGTTGTCTTAAAGTTTCTGCTAAACCCACGTAGTTCAGAGGTGTGGAGTCAGGAAGGCTCAGTGTGCCCACTGCTGCCTGGTCTGTCCCCAGTGTCTTACCTGGTGCTGCACCGTGGCCTCTGGAGCTTCTACCACCCAGTAGTCATCTCTTCTGTGTGTTTTATCTGGTTGCATTGTGCTCTTCTTGCCCCTTACCCTTAAGTTTGCTTTACTGTTTCTCTCTTGCAATTTTATGCTGCATGTGGTTGGTTTGAGAGGTGGTTTAAAATAAAATGTTATAATATCAACTGCAAAACCATATTGAAATTTGTTCAGTTGTGGGGAGGTTGACTAAATGCCAACACTTTGTTAAACATCTGAAAATGCGGTTTTGCGCATACAGGTTCCTAAAGGATTACCATACTTTTCTGTGGACTTTGGCCTTCAAGGAGGATTTGCTCATGTGATTGAAGATCAACACAATTTCCCTCATTACTTTGGGAAGGTATTGTTATATAAAAGATTAATTTGCCAATTATACTTTGTTTTGGAAAATTTAAGTAATTAAAACAGACGCTGCCAGAACAGTTACTTTGATGTACCCTATCTCAGTTTATTATCTGTCTTTTCTTGATGAGTCATTGTAACTTGGCTTGTTGAATAAAGGAGCAGTTGATTTTTTCATTATCTGATACTCAGATTGTGATTCTAGGTTTGTGTTTCTTTTGAATTAATAGGAACTGTTGATATTTGCATTGTAGATATATGATCTTACAGATGGAAAATACTTGCGTCAACTTAAGAGTTTTCATGGCCATAGTATTGACATGTAGGTACACTGAATTCATGCTTGTATAAATTAGGGTGCATATACATACAGACTCACAGACAATTCCAGTGAAAATCCTCAAGTGGTTAGATGACTCCCCATGGTATACAGTGTACCGTTTATACAGGAAGAGCTGTAATGTGGAAAGATTCAGTGTGACAAAGACATTAAGAGTGATTGGGGAGAAATATAACACCAGAAAGTGGGCAACTTTCTTTTTCTGAACTTGCCTTAGTCACAAATGTACTGATACATTAACAATCTTGCAATTTTAGGATGTTTAAGCAGTACATCAATATGCTGTGCTTAAAAGAATTTTGCTGAGGCAACCAGCTAACAGCTACAGTTCTATTTTTTAAATTGTCTTATTTTTTAGATTGTTATATTTTTCAGAATTTTGAAAATACATATTGCTTTATTTTATTGTAAAATAGTATTAAGTAATATGGTAATTTTGCATTTACCATTATCTATCTTTCTTGTACTTGCAAAGGAAATTATTGGTGGCATGCTGGACTTGGAACCACGGCTTTGGAGAAAAGGAATCAGACAGAACTTTGAAGAACAGAGGAAGAAGGTGTTGCAGTTTGCACAATGGTGGAAACCATATGACTTTACCAAAAAGAAAGAATGAGAACAACCCTGCAGTCAATTACCTTAAAGGATACTTCATATTTTAAGAATAACACCAATGTGTTATGTATTGCTAATATATTTTAAAACATAGGATAATGTTTAATTGCTGATTATCTGTTTCTGGTTTGGACACTATGGATCCCATGAACCTGCAAGCCTAACAAACCAGAAGTGTACAGTGGGTTTAGCTTTTTGTTTTTCAGCTGAGACTAAAGAATAGAATCGATGTGGCCACTGGAGTTCTTAAAAATGTAACTTTTGCTTATGGAGTTTTTACAATCTTTGAGACAACCGATATTTTTTTTATATTGTATTTAGCCAGTGCTGAATTATCCTGGTGACCTTCTGTAGAAAATGGTGTACATTTTAAGAACATTTTTATTAAAACAAATACATTGTTGCAGAAGAAAGCTGTACAGAAAATGATTTTCTGATTCTGAGTCCTTGTGGTCTTTAAGTCATTGCAGTTACATAAACATTCACAAAGGATGGGATTGATAATCCTGCTGCTGCCCCCCTGCACAAGAATTATGGCACAAGAATTTTTCGTACTTGAAGCACAAAGGGTGATGAGACAGTCCATAGCTGTTGCCAAATGACAGCTTTAATGGTAACAGTTACTTTTGATAACAATTGAAACTAAAGAAAGAATGAGAAGGGTGGAAGAATCTTAAGGGAAAACACTCTGCACTGACCAGCAAAGAAAACCATCACAGGGATATTTCCAGGCGACTCTTCTCTCCCTGGGCGTCCCATCTAGTGCCGCAGGTGGTTTGCAATAATACTTTGCCGTAATAGTTTTCATCAGGACCTGCTTGAACTCCCTGCTGGTTTTCCTGCTTGTGATGCTGTTAGTGCTGATTGGAGCACACTCTGATAAGAGGCAAGAGTTGCACATTAATTGATTGTTAAGCATGGATGGCACTAGGAAATGCCTGTCTACTAGTTAAAGGACCACTCTCCACTGTTTTATTTGCTGGGTTTTATTTTTTCTTTTGTGTAAATGTTACGAAGTGGGAGTAGGGAAGTGTGAGGGGGAAAAAGGATGATTCTTGCATCAGTGTCCATCTTTTTCTGTGGAAACCCTGACGTAGCAGGCTTGGGCTTTGCATGTGCAGAGTTGGGAGAACAAGGAGAACAGGAGACAAGGACAGAAGGTCATGGACAGAAACATTGCCACAGTGTCCTCCCAGTGCTCAAGGCAAAGGGTGCAGACTTGTGAACGAAAGGCTTCAGTGCTACAGGGAAAGGCTTAAACCAGCAGATGGAAGGCCCTTGGCAGTAGGAGAGGTTAAAGCATTGTGCAAGTGTCTCAACGTGCTTCCTATTCTTTTCCTGCAGAAATATTGCTCTCTACAACTCTCTTAACTATTGTGAGATTGTGAACTGCTCAGATTGTAAAGGAATCACTAAATGTTAGAGGGCTGAATAAGTGTTCATTTCTAGTCCCTTGGTGGTCTTTTGCAACTTTCCTGAAGAGCTTGTACTTGCCCTGCTCCCTCACCTGCCACCACATTTTGGTAAATAAGTCTGGTGGAGACAGAAATCTGCTGTGTTCTGAATTATTTTCTGGAGGATCTTTGTAAATTGGTGTCAACTGCAAGAAAAATAACTTAAAAATAAGCTTTCATGATAATTTCAGTGATTTAATGTTTATTTATATTGTGTTCACCAGTAAACCATGGACAAAAGGGACAGTTCTAGCTGTTCTCCAGTAAGTCATGATCTTCATTAGGCTACTGGGGAGATTGCATGTTAAATGCGATGTGAAATAGCAGCTGCTGGTGATCGCTTAGAATGTGATAATGCTGAACCAAGTTTAGGTAAAATGTAGTTTTTGGTTGTGTAAAGCATGACTAAAAATAGCTTTCTCTGAAAGCATATATTGCCCCTAGTCTTATCTGCCCCATGGGAGGATAGCTGGAAACAGCAACAGTGACTGTTTTTAAGCCATGGAAAAGTCTTTATCCAACACTGTGCTGGAAATGCAATTTTTCTAACTGATATCACTTCTCTGAGAATTCGTGTTCCTCAAGGGAAGCACTGTGTTTCACAAAGGATATCTGACTTGTATGTAGGAAAGTCCTCTGACTCATGATCTGTGCATATTTTATTATTCTGGTTTCAGCAAAACTACGGGTTTTCTTTGGACAGAAAGAACTCTGAAATACAGGAACTCTGAAATACGGAATAAGGGTAACTCAAGTTAGTGATACAGGAAAATGTTTTTTACCGTATTAGAAGTTTTCAGAATGGGAGAATGTGCTTACCACATAGGCTGAGAATAGTATCTTCTTGTAATTGGTTACAGACCAGACATGCGTATCTTCAGGGTAAGCTGTGCCTCTTCATAATTATCTTTAAATATTCATGAGGCCATGACAGTCAACACAGCTTGTTAGGGCACTTGTGGAAGGCCTGGTATGCTTAGACTTCAGTCCTTACTCTTATAAATATTAAAATATTTTAAATAAACCTCCTTCATCCAGAAGAACACCCACTACCTAAATTCTTTGGGACTAAGAGGTGGAAAATGTAAATGTAGGTGTCTTCAGGGAGAACAGGGATTGGAAGCTGGATTTCTTACATTGTTGTAAATGTGCATCTATGTACCCTTCTGTATTACCAGGGAGGAAGAGGATCTTCTCCCTTCAAGTGAATCTCAGTGTGTGATTTAACAGGTGTTAGAACACATCCATGTCCTGCCCTGTCTTACAGAGAGATCATGTAATATGTGCTGCTACTTTTCCACGCAGTGCCTGGCCTAAAATGCCATGTTTCCCTGGTATCAAGTCAGCTTTTTCCAACTCTGAGGTCTTCCCTCCTTTGCATTCCCTGGCTATGCTGAAGGAATTGTGTCCTCTCACTTTCATTCCAGGTCTTTCAGCAGTTTCAGGGAAGGGTGCTGCACCAGCATGGTAGCATTACTGCTGTTTGATCAAGCACTGGATGAGGCCTGAGCAGGAACTCACACTCCGGACTCTTTATTCAATTATATTTGCCACAAAATTCTCTAAGAGAGAGCCAGAATGGATGCTGCAGTTAGGCAGATCTCCCTTAAGCCTTGATACCTTGAGGATTTGCTGCTTGGTCTGTCTTGGGGTAAAAGAGGTTAACATGCTCCAGTGAGATGTTCACTTTCTTTGCTTTTTCTCAGGCTATTCTCTTCAACCTGGGTACTCCCCAGGCCCATGTAGTTGCTGTAGAAAAGCTGCCTGAAGCACGTGTCTTCTTGTTAAGGAACCACATCTGAACGTTATTATTTTTGCTCAAATGGAAGGAAAGCACCGTGAATTTGTACCGCCCCATTAGCTACAAAATGAAGTGCAAAAGCTGCTGCGGTGTCATTACTCTTATCCATAGCCAGTGTTGATTGATGTCAGGGTGATTGCCTGAAGTCATCTGTTGATACAAACTGAGGTAATGAAAAATGAGATTGTTGTAAGCTGGGTGAACTCAGTGGAGCTAAAGTGGAAAGCAAGACTTTCTGCTGACTATTGGTGTTCTTCCAAGTATGTAGTTCTCATTTATGCCCATATTCCACTTGCTTTTAACTTCTCCTTATGTGTTTTCTTTCAGAGTAAGGCTGTGAGATGCTGCGTTTAGTACAGGTTTAGTGTAACAGTGGTGGATTGTTGCTTTGTACTCGTTAAAAGACCTGGGAGAGAACAATGTGGATTTTTGTTGCTTTGCTGGAAAAACAATGTAGCAACATTCAATCTTAGGTCTATTTGAGCTGATTTTTTAAAATTTATTTTCAGTTTTTTCATGAACCCAAACAATGGGTTATTCTCAGAGTCATAATCAAATGTGAGAGAGATTTTACATACTGAGTTCAACCAACTTGTTTTAAATTTCATACGAGTTCTGAATGGAAAACAACATGTTAAAATTAACAGTAACTCTCAATGGCAGAAGTTCACCAGTCCCTTGAAATCTATGAAAGAAGAAAAATTTTGAGGAGTCCCTTGAGAGTTCTGTCTTTGGTTGAAATTTCTTGAGCATTTCCTGTTTTCTGCATTTGTCTTTTTATCATTACAGCATGTTTTCTCTTCCTAATCCCAACTGGACTGTGGATGAAAAGTCAAGGATACAAGGGCTGTTATACTCTTACTTAAAGTGTAGCTGTATTTGAAACAAGATCCTTAATATCCTATCTAAAAGTGCCATTTTTAGTTCTCACAAATCAAGACAACCTAATTCAATAAGAAGAAACAGTTGTTAGAAATCCAGTCTTGCAAACATCATAATTCTCATGTGCACACTGATGTGTCTGTGTGGTGATATTACTTTTCTAGATGTTGCACTTGTTTATGTTGTTAAAAGTGGGAAGGGAAGATAACATACTTCAAGGAAGTCATGCTGCTACACCCTTTACAGGGAAGTTGGTGTAAATTTTACCCCCCAAGTTAAAAACCACTGGAAGTTAGTTCTAAATGAATATTTAAGATTTCCTTGGGAAGCAGATTTCAAAGCTAATAGAATCCTGGGGTTGTCCCAGGGAAGTTGATGTATTTGACATGGTATCCTGCTTGGTGATGAATCTTGAACAACTGCCCTGCTATCTCTGTTTATTCTGAGACTTATAAAAAAATCTGTGAAGTACTAGAACTGTATTTTAAAGGGACTGCGTAATTGCAGGGCATCTTTACCATCCCTGGTGTCTTGGCTCCTATGTGTGACCTAAGCACTGTACACAGAGAGCCCAGAGGCACATCATGCAACACATAATGACAGTGTTGGTTACATTAGAGAAAGCAGAGTCTGAGCTCTTGATGTGTTGGTTGTAACAAGTTCATTTCTCGATGGCCAAGCTTCCTGTGCCCTTGTACATGTGGTCTGAGGACAGACAGCTGGCAGTCTGAAATGGCTTTGATGAACCTGCTATAAGTTCCATATGAGAACTGAAAATGCATCAATTCATTATTTTTAAATGTCTAGCTTTTGTAAAACAAGTACCCTAGAGCATACATGCAGTAAACCCAATTTTAGCAAAAACCCACAAACATAATTAACCTTTTAGAATAAAGTTGAAGGCATTCTTTATGGACCACTGTCTTTGAGGGTAATATTTTTATTAAAGATTCTCTGTTTTGTGATTTCTGGCCATTGATGTTCAACTCTTGGTCACCCACCAGCCTGGAATGAGAGATAGGTACAGTTTGGTTTTGAGATCAGACAAGATGACTTTTCAAAGTCTCTCCCAGGTCTTTCTGCTGTGATTTGAGGATCTTATTTAATTCTCATCTTTTATGCGAAAATGTCTTGGACCAGCAATTGTAAGACAAGATATGAGCAGCTAACAACTGGTAAGTATATAATGGGGCATAAGTACATAGTTACCACTGTACAGCTTCCCCATTGCTGTTGTCACAGTTTTGCAGGGCTTCGTTTGGGAATGTCAGTGGATCTGTAATGTCTCTGCGTGGTTTTTGTAGCC